GATTGTTGAGTAATCATCACAAATTAGTCCATATGTTCTGTCGGACATTGCTACCCAACAACCACATATACACAAAACAACAATGCTTTACTCTCCCAAGACACTTATACCATGACTGTTGATAATTCCATTGAAACATAAGAGAGGCCGTAGCTTCTAAACGTCAGCTGACCTGCTATTGGAAAAGGTCACTATCTACTTTTACACATAGTATGAACAGCTTTATAGAAGCCTTTTGCATGGGAAGACAAAAGTGATACTTTGGGTAAGTGACACAAAACAACAGGTAGCTGGAGAAAAGGGAAATTTATGACTTTCTTGGCCAACGTGCCATATGGAAACTACACATACCTAGATAAACGAAAAAGTTTGTACTATATGAGAAGGTAACAAGCACATAGTATACCTGCATACCATACCAGTAGTTTTGTTAAAGTGCTGTGTTTTCATGTATGTTCTTTCTGTTTTATATTTTGATCTTGTATTGACATATCTTTATATTTGTTTTTATTCCAAGTTGTAACAAATTTGTTATTATATGTGTATTTTAATATCAACGTTTGTTTATATTAAACTTATATTTAGAAACACACATAGCTTATATTATTAAATATGTATTGCGAAACTTCCGCCTATTCTCCAAAGTTATAGATTCTCGAGAGTAAGAATCAACAATAAATGTGTGTACATAACGCTTGTGTTAGTGCTAGTATTGTTACGTTAAACTGAAAATTGGAGAAAGCCTTCGCATGCCTATAAATATAACCAACGCGATGCGCCAAAAAGAGAGTATCTATTATTAATTTGCTATAGTCAGTGTGCTATTTTGGAAGCTATAACTGTGATTGTTATAATGCTTATCAATCGGAAAACTTAAGATATTTGCCCAGGAGCATTTACAAAGTTCGAACATTACAAATCATTTAACTTCAGTGGATTCTCATCGGACATTAGTACTTTTACGAAAAAATTACCTAACTTCAATAGGAGAAACTCGGCGTGTGTGGCTGGTGAATAATGAAGGATAAAGCTAGCTAGTTTCTCGTTAAGCGAATCGTACCTACATCAACTCGTAATTAACAAACTCATCTTGAACCCTCAATAAGATATCAAGAAAGTTCCAGACTATAAAGAACACTTTATATTGCTTGTAAGTTTGTGAAACTTTTTGTTTATAAATCATTGTTTGTAATAACTGTTATTGTGAATTGTATTGCTGTA